GAACCTTGTACCACTCGCAGCAGGAATTTCCATTCCCAGTTTCCCTTTCCTCTCCTGCGGATCCTCCCAGGAGTCCTGATAACCTCCACAACAGCAGGACCAGGCTTTTTTTCTTCAGGAAAAAAGCCCCAAACGCTGTCACTGATGGGCTGAGCCACCTCAGCGCTCTGGTCCCCAAAGCAAACCTGGCAGCGAGCTTGCACTCCATCTAACCTCACCTCCGTTGAGTGGGCAGAGGCTCCCCTCGGCTCCGTGTGAGATACAATCACGTTTTGTTTGTTCATTTGCCAGGTTCTGGCTGGTTTAAAGGCATGGCTCCATTAGGCCACTCCGGGTCTAGCGCGGCGTCTCCCAGCTTGGGCAGCTGCCTGGGCTTGGGTGATTGATTGGAGCTTTGATCACGAGAGTCAAGACAAGCCTGCAAAGGGCAGCCGTGCTCTGCAGTCTTTCCACGTCGAGCCTGGCTGTATGATTTGTATGAGTGTATGTTGCCATATACTTCCAGATTAATGTGCTGCACTCCCATATGAACTAACCCCGCTTCCTGCTGAATCAGAAGACTTGCAGGTATCTTTACACACTTCCGTAGCATGTTTAATGAGACTAAAACAAGCATTTACCCAAATACCTTGAGGGAAGCATAGCAGATACAATCATTTTTTTCCCCCCTTTTAACTCATAAGACAAGATGGAAAACATGGTTCATAAGTCAAATTGGCAACTCTCAGGATCTCCTCATTCTTCAGCCAGCACCACCTATGGCTGGGAGCAAAAAAAACCACAGTTTCTAGAATACATCTCTTCCTAAAAAAACCCCCGTTATTCCCAACTCTTTTCACCCTGAACAAGAAGCACGAACAACAAAAACTGAAGGCATCACAGCCACAAGAATGTCCTTATTGTTTTGTACACATCACTTGTGTGCAAAGTGTTTCCATAATTACCAGCCCAGCTGCTGTTGAAATAATCTTTGAGTTTCTTAGTCTATTCTATTCTGCTCATGCGTCCATATTAAATGGGTTGTTTTCATAAGGCCAAAATACCTCTTTCCAACGAACTGAATTTAGCATTCAGCAAATGCTGCTCAACCACCCCTCAGACCATTACGTTTGTCAGTTATTTTGGGGGTTTGGCAAAGCCATTAGCATCAGCCTCAGAGCAGCCCTTCAAAATGTGTGCTCAGCTAAATTCACTTCATATAAAAAAATACTGCAAGGTCCAACCAAGTCGCCCACCTTCCTTTTTGCTTCCCATTCTATGGGATTGTTTTCAACTAAAATACCATGTGGGTGTATATATTCTACTGCCTCATCCAAATGGATGTGGATATGGATTATTATGATTAATATGCATGCATTTACGTTCTCCTGAAGAACATTTTGAGAAGGGGAATGTGTACCTTACATTTAACATAGAAACTTTTCTGTGTTTGAAAAATTTAAAGTATCCTCTGATTTTTAGGAATCATTGGATTGGATGGCATCAGCTGAGTCAGCAAGTTTGTAATCGCTTTGGAGTCATGTAATCCATAGTTAGTCCAGTGAGATCCAATGAAACATCCAATCCAGAAACAACCACATACCACAGGTTTTAAAACACCTTTTAAAGCATCCAAGTAACTGCTTATTGTCCTGTAGGAAGTTGAAAGACAATCAGTAGAAATTGCTAAAGTGGTTGGTGTTTTTAAAATACCTCAAGGCTTGTTGCTCTTCTGCCTTCAGAAATGCCAGATAGTTGCCTAAATTACCCCAGAGCGTGGCATTTTAAACATCAGCTGTGATTTGATCCTTGTGTGGTGATCTCTTCAGGTGTATGGACTTGCAGTAGAATGTATGAAGTTTCTACAGCTTGATACTACAATTTATCATACTTTCTAATGTTTTATCTTAAAGCCAAAAATGCCTAGTTGATTTGTAAGATTTAAGTGATTTTCAGGTTTTTTTCACTATTTGCAGTTCAAGAAGGAATACAAAATATCCTTATATTTAAAACATGATAGCAGAAAAGCTGTAAATGGGGGGTTAACAAAAGGGTTTCACTGAATCATAAATAAATTGAATCTGGGCGTATTCTTCCCCATCTTTGGTTTCCTTTACTTGTTTTCCTGGTATTTCCTTCTTAAACAAAGGAAATTTGTCTGTGGCAATTAGTCTACTTATAGACAGAAACTTTAGGTAGCATATAATTTCATATGTCGTATGCAGGATTGGGGCTGGGGTTGTGGGAGCTTTGCTAGAGTTGGGGCTGGGTCAGTTGGGATGAGCATCCAGGCTGCTGGATGCTCACCTTGTAAGCATTATCCCTCCCTCCTTTGAAGAGCAGAGGAGTGAGAGCTGAGACAGTGAGCAGACTCCAAGTGTCAGCTGAATTTTTCATACATGAATCATAGAATGATGGAATTCCAGGTTGGAAGGGACCTCAAAGATCATCTGGTCCAACCTTTCTAGGCAAAGCATGACCTTAACTACATGTCTCAGCATCCTGTCCAGTTGAATCTTAAGTGTCCACCACTTCCCTGGGGAGATGATTCCAATGGCTGATTGTTCTCTTTGCTCATCCAACTGAAATGTCCCTGGGAGCAGCTTGTACTCAGAAGCTTCTCTCTCTGCTTTTGTGTTCTGTGGAATCACTGTGGTCCTGTCTTGGAGATAATGCTAATGTTTCTCCTCCCAGCTGCTGCTCATCACCTCGTTCACGTTTGCTGGCATCTCCTCTGCGTGATGCTGAGGGAGTCACTGCAGAACATTGCTGCTGGGTCAGGACTGTCTGAACCTGCCAACAACAGCAAAATCAGAGTTTCAGGTTTATGTTCCCAGCTCAGTGCACAAGGCTGACGTTTCTTCAGCTGATGCTGTCTTCCCAGTCTCCACGTGTACCTTAGGTGCCTGTGGAAGAGGCCCAGTATTTCAGCTGTTAAATCCAGGGGTTGTTATCTTATTCTACAGAGACTGGCTTCTTTGTGTCACCGCTGTGCTCCTGGCCAGGAAAGCCATGTGCTGAAACTGCCCTCATGATACCTAAATAGTGGATAAACAGCAACTTCTAATTTTCACTGCTAATGTCTTTCTTCCAGGCTCTCTAAACAAGAACTGCTCACCAAATCTCATGAGCTCTGTGATGAACGCTGCCTAATCAAAAGTGCAGAAAGAGGGTTTTGTTGGGTTTTTTCTCTCTCCCTCTTTCAGTTATTAAGTAGATTAAAGAAACAAAAATAATTCCCTTTCGCTTGTGGTCCAGTGTAAGCAACCCTATGACGTTTGTTGCCTTGGGATTTATGCATTAGAATAACCTTTGGTTCCAGTATTTTCTAAAGATTTGCCAGCAAACATTGCTCTTTGATTTGGCTTAATCATGGAGGATGGGACTAAGGGGACTAAAAAAGACCAGGAATGCTTTTGCATTGCTCATATTAGTCTACCTTATTCATTTAAAACCAAGCTGGAACTAATGTGATCAAGGACTGAGTCTGCATTTATAAACACTGTATTTTCATCTAACATCATCTGAGAGGATTCCTTAATAGATGGACTTCTGGCAAATTCCTCCCATATCCCTGTTTGCTACAAGGAAATGGAGCTACCAGATTTGGCTGATTCGGTTTAAGACTTCTGCAGACATTTGGCAGATTCAGTGTTGGATCAGACACTTTTAAAGCAGCTTCTCAAGCAGATACGATCTGAGCCACGAGGTTCAGGTCATCAGCTCTTGGGGGTGTTCAGGATCTGCAGTGTTGGTTTGGACCCATCAGATTTCTTCCCGTCCTCGTTGACAAGTCCTCCTTGTTCCAACGTGCAGGTTGGCTCGGAAAAAAAACATAAACAGTGGAAAAAAACTTTTCATATGGACAAAACTTAAAACCATTCCCACGTCCAGCCTGAAATTTTCCAGGGGAACTGGAACCTTCTGAATAGCCCCAGGGGAAACAAATGAAGCTTTACTTTGACCAACTGCCCCAGATTTCCAGGAGAAATTCATTGTTGGGGTAAGAGGTGAGGTGCTCCTGACTCCAGTGGCTGTTTTGAAGGTACAATGGCAAATGTATTGGTTCTATTTCCAGTGGACCATGCTTTTCCCCCACTGTCCAGAGCAATCTGTTATGAGTGTAGCTGGCAGAAACAACAGCGTGATCTTGTCACTCACTGCCTTTGTTCTTTTCCCTTCCTGCTTTTAGTTTATTGCTTTTGCCTGTTGGGAACTTCTTTTGGATTCGAAGTATATCAGGACAAGAGTAATGTGTCATCAATCTGTCCCTTCCAACACTTGCATTATATGCTTTTCTGCTTGGCGTGTGGGTGGAAGAACAAGCTGGAGTTTTTTCAGGGGTAATCTCTATGCCAACAAGCAAACACTGCATTATGTAGAATAACAAATAATGATTCACTGGGATGGTCTCAGCAAGGTCCGGAGGTGTCAATGAACCTCATACAAGTTCACATCTCATACAATTACAACTGAATCTCCAATGCTTTGGGGGAAACCAAATGACACAAAGCACAGGGCCAAATTATGTGTTGAGGAGGAGAGGGGAATATTTAACTTCCCTGGAGGTGATCAGCCTAAGATCAATATAAGGCAGGCATGGTGTAGACTGATAAGATAAAGAGCAATAGAAATCCTTTTTACTTGAACCAGGTATAAACAATTCTATTAAATCTTCATTAGCAACGTTGCCTTATTAGTGGTCTTGTTGTATGTTCAGATGCTTCTCTCTTCACTGTACAGCATCCAGGCTTTTTGTCTGGAGAAATCTGGTAATTCAACCCATCTGTCTTAGCTTAGAATGGGATAATTTATCATTTGGTAGAACAGTCTCTTTCCTTTGAATCCAGCTGGATAGGACTACTATCTCTGATTGCAAATTGAAAATATTTGATCTATCTCTTTGGATGGAATAACTCTGGATTTATTTCCAGAAAGGAGGGATTTCTTGTTTGTTTTGCATGTCTTTTTTTTTTTTTAATCCTTTTAGTTTAGTTTATAACAACTTTGTTCCATATCAGGCAAGAAGAATCCAACATCTCACTTGGGAAAGAAAACCTTGCCTGTAGCCAAAATCCTCATCTGGGCCTACGTCTTCCAGCACATTTCCCAGTCCTGATGAAGGTGCTGTTCTCCTGAAGCCTTTCAGCAGGTAAGATAGCATGAATCCCACAGTGACAAACAAAAATGAACCCAGTCAACACCAAAGTATCAATTTTACATGTGTATTGGAAACTTTCTGGGTATTCTATTGAATTCTCCACCAGGTATTCAGGTTGTTTCATGCTGGTGGAAAGAAAGTGAAATTCTGAGAGTGACTGTCTTTGTGGTGAATTTGTACTTAATAACGATGATAGACTAATGTTGATTTCCACACAGTTGGTTTTAACATAAACCAACAGAGCTGACTTACAAATCACTGCCTTATTGATGACAGGACAGCGAAATGGCAAGGCAATGGGTATAAATTACACTTAGTTTACTTAAGAAATAAGCCTGCATCATCAACATAGGAAAGACATCCAGCATCACTTCTACCATGAGTATGCAGTCCAAGGAAAGCAAATAACTAGCAATGAAAATCTCTGAAGGAGCTTTCCTAGGGCATTCACAGGACCTCTTGGAAGGATAAAACCGGTCCATGATCCATCATTCAGAAGTTCACTGATCATATCAGGCTGTTTATAAGCAAACTCGGTTTCAAGTGGTGCCAGGCAAAGATGTAAACACTGGCTGGTGCCAGCAGGGAACATCACAACCCGTATTGCACTGTGCTGCACTCAGAAGATGTGGGAATGAGAAGGGGTTTTAGTTTGGTCATAAATAACCGTTTAAATCACTGCAAATCATTGTTTCAATACAATATTGGGAGAGGCACATTACTGAGGCCAAGCTGATTTTTCAGTAATTGCTTCTGCAAGTCTGTAGCTGACTAAAGCTGCCAGCAACAAAAAAGGATGTGTTTGGGAAAGGGCCTGCAATTTCCAAGGATTTCAGGCTCCTGGGATTGCTCCCCTAGGTGAGGGGAAACAACTGCTGTCTTAATGGCAGGAAAAAAGCAGCCAGCAGTCAGCAAGTTGTTTATTGTAGAAACTATTGATACCCTCATACTGCGCACTGGGTACAGGAAAGTCCCTTGGAACGCAATAAACAGGACAAATTTGTATTAGCATTAAGAAATGCTTCCACCAACAACAGTGTGTAGGCACCAGGGATTAATAAAGCTATTAACATTACCCCTGTTTTCTTAATGTTGCATAGAACTGATAGTGGTCTGTATTTCCAAATCATTCCATATCTAAAAGGTATGTCCAGCACTGTATAATAAGACTGCAGGGTTTTAAAGCTTTGCCTGTGTAGATATGGGGCACTTATAGCCTATGAACCCAGCAGAATATGGCAGTCATTCCCAGCCCTACTCTTCACAGCAAATTACTGCATTCATAGGCTTAAAGTCAGGTCACTCTCCCATGTTTTAAAGCAATACAGCTGACCAGCAACAAGAGATCAGGATAGCTGGATTCCAGTCAATAAATCATGGCATGGGAGAACGTTTCTCTCGAAGAAAGCCATGACAGTGCCTGAGGGGTTAAATGTCCATGGCTTTATTTCTCTCTGCCTGTATGTATCTGGAATCAAGACACTGGGATAAACACAATTAATCCTGTAGTTTAGGTAGGAACTCACTGCTCCTGTTTAATAGCATCAGTTTTTTAATCAGGAGGATGTTTTCAGTAAGCACATCACAGTTTATTCACCCTAAGAGAGAGTTTACAGTTAGTTGCTTGGTTGTTTGCCTTTTTCCCTCAGCAACACTAAGGCTTGTTATATGTACTTTAATCTCAGCCCCAGCTTTGTCAGTATTTGGTCTTGTCTTACAGAACTCCAAAGCAGGGTCAAAAGGAAGCAAACTCTCCCTCCAGAAAGCCAGTATCGATTCTTTTAACTGCCTCAGCCAGAAAGCAGTTTTTGGACAAGTTCAGCATAGAAATGGGAAGAAAGCCTGGTTCTCCAGACAGACCCATGTTGTGGTTTAAACCCACCACCCCTTCCCCCAGTGGCTATTGATATGGGACTAATGTGGGTTTCTGGCACTTGGCTGTTATATGAGCTCACCGGGCAGAGCATCACCCGCTGTGCAGACCCTGGGGGTAATACCGTGGCCATGTGAAGCCTCTGTTTCTTTTGCTATTGGCTACAAGAACAAATTGTCACCTCTACCTTTTAGAGTCTGAAAGCACAATTCAGAGTCCTTATTGATGACTGTTTGCTGGGAATACATTAGGCTAAATTGCAGAGTGAGAGGCAGAGCTATTAGAACTGAAGGATGGTTTCAAACAAGAACTCCTGGGTGTTAATTGACAGTGAATGTATTTTGGCTGGGGAGTGAAATGAGGATTGTGACTATTAAACAAAGAGTGTTTGGAACAATGTTTAAGCATGAGAACTGGCTGACATCTACCTTTTTAAATCACAATAATAATAAAACGAATGAATTGGATTTTAAGCTAACTTCTCATGCATTGTGCATCACCATTTCATGGTGATTGAGTACCTATTAAAGGTGCAATATTCATTTATTACCATGCCATATTTCAGCTGTGTATCATATGGATATTACTATGCATGTACAGAATAGCCTTTAGTCTGTTAAACTCTTCCATAACTTTGAATAGGCAGTATAGTGTCAAGGGGAGGTACAGAAATAACTGGCACAGGCAAGACACATCAAGTATATGCATATACTGACCTCACAAAAACACTTGTGTGGAAATACCCCATTAGGGATGAAAAATCAGAAGGTTCATGAGCACATCGTGTCACTGGGGACGTCTCATACAACACAGTTTCCTTCTTGTAATCGACTCTTTAAAGCAAATGACTGGGCTGTGCAGGGACTATCACTGTGTGAAAGCACAACACTATTCACATTCCTTTTTCTAGATCCTTTTAAAGAAACTGATCGAAAATTCATTGAGTTTAATGTGCTGCACCAGTGGTAATTTAAATCCTTGCAAAACACTTCCAGCTCACTTTGCAAGCGTGGGCCCAGAGCATCAGCGTCAGCCTCATTTCCAGCATGTGGCCTTAGAAGCAGATTTACCAAGCAGCACAGACAAGTCCTCTGTAGTTTCTGTGATTTCCTTATAGCACAATGATGGTCATCACTGGAGCCAGGTTATCCCAGATGACTACCACAAAAGGAAGACTAGGAATGGGAAAAGAGGGTAAATGATACTCCAGTGTCACTGTAGGAACCATGAAGGGTGGAACAATACATTTCTGTCATGTCGATATGAAGGAATCTAGTGGAGACCAGTGGCTAAAGTCGCACATACAAATACCCTGATAATAGGTCCCTGAAGCAGAAGGCTATAAAGGATTTATATACTCCTTAGTGGAGTCATAGCACGGAGAATCAGACTGGGTTAAAGGAGACTGTGTGTTAATACCTCACACTTTTAAATCCCCCTTCCCACCTTTTTATATCAATAGGATGCATAATGTTCATTTTGTGAATATTCTCTGTCTGTGTTTTCCGTTTTCGCATGACTTTGCTTACCACATGGCACTGTTTAAATGCTCTGATTAGAAGACGCATTCAATTACCTACAGATATTAGTGTCCTAATAGATGCTAATGCAGATATTAGTGTCCTGTAGACACCAGTGTCTAAGGAGCAATGCTCTGCAATGTGTTTGCTTGTTCAGTTGCATCTCCTCCTGATGAAGTCTGAGGCAAGGAGAGAAGATGAAGGCTGAAGGGTCAGAAAGGATGAGTCAGGAAATGTTTTACTCTTACTATAACCCCCCTGCCGAGTGGAAACATTGGAGGAATCCTTTCCCTAAGATAATATTGATTGTAATTTATGATGTACCATGTTTCAACTAGCTAAAGAGAAAAGAAAATAGTAAGTCCAGTGTTTCAGCCTGGTTTAAAAACCCAACACACAAGTTATACAGATGAAGTGTGTGAAAAGCAGGGAGTGAATCACTGGCAATGGGAACTCTGTCAGAATTAGGAAATTAAGTTCATTAAAGGTGTGGTAACTTAATTTTCTATGCAAGCATGTAATGATGAGGGTTGGGCAGAAAAAAACCCGCTCAGACATCCAATTTAACACAAACCCACCCAAACTTGGCAAGGCGGAGCGTCCCCAGCTCAGCCCAGCCTCCTGGCTCCCTGTTTAGATTACATTTGCTCTAAATAGTCCAAATGAGGCCTGGACTGTACCCTCCTTGTCCCCGTCATCAGCCTCCTGTGGTGTCAGCAGTGTGAAAGCAGACGGGCTCCATGGGGCAGCTCCCCAATTCCTCAGCATTCCCCATTCTTGTAGACTCTCCAGGGCATTTTATGGATGAGTAATAAATCTTCCCTCTTATTACTGAGAGAAAACCCAGAGATGAAACCTTCATTTTACTTAGATTGACCTTAAAAACCAAAATCTTGATTCAAAACAAAGGCATAAACCCAAAGCAGCATGTGCTTTGACCCCATCACATGGCCTCATCATCATACAATTGGCTTCAAAATCACTCTCATTGCCTCACTTTTATTCAAGATGCTTAAACCAAAATGAAGCAAATTTTGTTTCCCAAACAGATCCTGAGATTTTATTCCTTTCTAGTCATGCTGAGGGTTGTGTGGCTGCCTAGCCCAAGAGATCCTAGATTAATTTAACAAAGCCCATGTAATCACTCTGGTTCGTATCTATATACCTAAAACGAGAATCCCGTCCACGTTCTTCAGCTCTCTACGTTAGGGATATTCCTGTAGTCAAAGTTTCTGGTGGCCTATTAGCATTATATAAAACTATAAAGATTTCCTGTTTCAGCAAGCAGCAAGTTTGACAGAAAATCTGAACTGGATTGTTTCAGGGAATGCCAGTCTAAAGTCTCAGTGCGAGACACTGAGATGCCACCAAAGGTTTCTGATGCCCATATGGAGGGTCCTGTCCCTTCATCCCTACCCCATCCATCCATGGCATGGTCTTACTTTCCTCCTTATACTTGGGAATAGGTGGCTTTAAGAAAGCACCTCCTGGGGTGTGCATTTATTTCATGGGTGGTATAGCAGCACATCTGATCCTGGGGGATATTTAACAGCACCCTCACGGCTTCAATGTATTTGCTTTACATTGATAAAAGTGAA